TTACAGAATTTTTTTAAGTGAGACTATCATTTTTTGGATTTCTGGAAATTTGCTGTTTAAGGCAGATTTTTGGATAAGAGAGATTTCAGCTGATTTAGACCATTTTCTTATACAAATTATTTGAAACAAAGGCCAACGTAGGTGGATCACGAGGTCAGGAGTTTGAGACCAGTCTGGCCAACATGGTGAAACCCTGTCTCTACTAAAAATACAAAAATTTGCTGGGTGTGGTAGTGTGTACCTGTAATCCAAGTTACTTGGGAGGCTCAGGAAGGAGAATTGCTTGAACCCAGAAGGCGAAGGATGCAGTGAGCCAAGATCACACCACTGCACTCCAGCCTGGGCAACAGAGCAAGACTCCATCTTGGAAAAACATAAAAAAAGGATGCCTACAGTGAAATGAAGAGTACAGGAGCACCTCATTTTATTGTGCCACACTTTTGTATGCTTTGCAGATACTGCGTTTTTTACAGGTTAAAGGTTTGTGGCAACCCTGTGTTGAGCAAGCCCGTAGGCAACATTTTCCCAACAGCACGTACTCATCTCATGTTTCTATGCCACATTTTGGTAATTCTCACAATATTTCAAACTTTTTCATTATTATTATATCTGTTACGGTGATCTGTAATCAATGCTCACTGATGTTACTATTGTAATTGCTTTTGAGTTAATTGCCACAAACTGCACTCGTATTAGACAGCAACGTAATTGATAAGTGTTCTGTGTGTTCTGACTGTTCTACCAAGCAGCCTTTCACCCATCTTTCTCCCTACTCTTTGGCCACCCTATTCCCTAAGAAACAATAATTTAAAACTATACCAATTAATAACCCTACGATGGCCTCTAAGTGTTCACATAAAATAAAGCGTTACACATCTCTCACTTTAAATCAAGAGCTAGAGGCCAGGTTTGGTGGCTCACGCCTGTAATCCCAGCACTTTGGGAGGCTGAGGTGGGTGGATCACAAGGTCAGGAGTTAGAGAACAGCCTGGCCAACATGGTGAAAACCCATCTTTACTAAAAATGCAAAAATTAGCTGAGCGTGGTGGTGGGCGTGTGTAGTCCCAGCTACTCAGGAGGTTGAGGCAGGAGAATCGCTTGAACCTGGAAGGCGGAGGTTGCAGTGAGCTGAGATCACATTACTGCACTCCAGCCTGGGAGACAGAGCAAGATAAGTCTTAAAAAAAAAAAATCAAGAACTAGAAATGATTAAACTTAGTAAAGGGATGTCAAAAGCTGAGATAGGGTGAATAGTAGGCCTCTTGAGCCAAACATTCAAGTTGTAAATGAAAAGGAAGAGATTTTGAGGAAAATTAAAATTGCTACTTCAGTGAATACACAAATGATAAGAAAGTGAAACTACCTTATTACTGATATAGTGAAAGTTTGAGTGGTCTGGATAGAAGATAAAATCAGACACATTTTCTTAAGCCAAAGCTTAATCCAGAGCAAGGTCCTAACTCTCTTCAATTCTATGAAGATGGAGAGAGGTGAAGAAGCTATAGAAGAAAAGGTGAAAGCTAGCGGAGATTGGTTCATGAGGTTTAAGGAAAGAAACCATCTCCGTAACATAGAAGTGCAAGGTGAAACAGCAAGTGCTGATGTAGCAGCTGCAGCAAGTTATCCAGAAAATTTAGGTAAGATAATTTCTTATCTAGCTAAGAAAATCTAGCTAAGGTAAAATCAACAGATTTTCCATGTAGACAAAACAGCAGTGTATTGAAAGAAGATGCTATCTAAAGAAGATGCTTTCGTAACTGAGAAGTCAATGACTGGCTTCAAAGGACAGGCTGGCTCCCTTGTTAGAGTCCAGTGTAGCTAGTGACTTTAAGTTAAAGCCAATGCTCATCTGCCATTCCTAAAATGCTAGGACCCTTAAGAATGACAGTAAATCTACCCTTCCTGTGCTCTATAAATGGAGCAAGAAAGTCTGGATTATAGCACATCTGTTTACAGCATGGTTTACTATTTTAAGTCCACTGTTGATACATACTGCTCAGAAAAAAGGTTCCTTTCAGAATATTACTGCTTATTGGCAATGTATGAAGTCACCCAGGAACTCTCATAGAGATATACAGGGAGATGGATGTTGTTTGCATGCCCGCTAACACTACATCCATTCTGCAGCCCATGGATCAAGTAGTAATTTTGACTTTCAAGTCTTATTATTATGGAAGTACATTTCATAAGACTGTAACTGCCATAGATCGTGATTTCCATGATGGAACAGAAGAATGGAAAAATATTTGTGATTCATAAGAGGAGTCCAAATATCAATATTTAACAGGAGTTTGAAAGAAATTGACTTCAGCCTTCATGGATGATATTGAGGGATTTGAGACTTCAGTGGAGATATATAGATATATATCTGCAGTCATATATATATATTTGGTTTCAAATTCAGTCTTTTAAAAGTGTTCCTCTATTAAATCCAATATTGAAAAAAATTTGTAGTTTTATGCAAGATTCTGAATGTTTAAGCAGATATTTAATGTCACATCAAATCAATACTCATCATGGCTTTTAGAGCTATAGTTTCTTGTCACAATTAAGATAATTTCATATTAGATTAGTGTGTGACCATGTTTTGAAATATAGTAAACTTAAGCAAATATCTTCATAAATAAAAATACCCACAGAATGAAAATATGCTTGGACTCTGAGAGAAGATTGAATGTCAACCTTCTGCCTTTTGATCCACTTAGGAGAGCAATTAGTATCTTTTATTATTTTATTGAAAGTTACTGTCAAGTTTTAGAGTGATATAAAGATAATAATTTCCTTCAGAACGAAACTATTGACAGCACTTTAAGCAAACTGCTAGGGTCAAGATGCTAATATCAATATTCCTTTACATCTTAGTTCTGAATATTCATGAATGGAAATAGCATATGTTTTACTTCCTACATGTAAAATATTTATTTTACTTCCTGTATTGTTCTGTCAAACAAGTTGGAAACAGGGATGATGCATTCTTACCTAAGTAACTCTATTTTATATGCATTATCATCCAGAACATATAGTCTTGAGTTTATTTACATATTTTTAAGCATAGTAACATTTTGCTTTCTTTAAAGAGTCTAGGAATCTTAAGCCTAGGTAAAGTAAATAAGGGAGAAGGCAGGTAGAAGAACAGAGAGTAGTATATAATGTTTGGAAAATGAATAATATAGGCCCAAATATCTTCAAATTCAGTTCTATAACATGTTATACAAGCCAAGAAAAACAGGTATGTGTCCGAGTGACCTCTTGAGCTTGTAGATTGCTATTGCTAGCAGTCTTTTTGTTGTTGTTGTTGAGGGTTGGGATGGGGACAGAGTCTTGCTGGAGGGCAGTGGTGCAATCATAGCTCATACAGCCTGCAAATCCTGGCCTCAAGGGATCCTCCCACCTCAGCCACCTAACCAGGAGTTAGGACTACAGGTGTGTGTCACCAAACCAGCTATTTTTTTTTTTTTTTTTTTTTTTTTTGTAGAGATGGGGTCTAGTCAATAAAATCTAAGAGTCGTTTGTTATAGGGTAGTTTAGTGATTGTGTGCAGGATTCAAGTGAAAGGCAGGGGTCCAGTTTCATTCTTCGTCACATGGCTAGCCGTTTATCCCAGCATAATTTATTGATTAGGGGCTCCTTTCCTCATTGCTTGCTTTTGTTGGCTTTGTCGAAGATCTGATGGTTGCAGGTATGTGGCTTTATTTCTGGGTTCTCTATTATGTTCCATTGGTCTATGTGTCTGTTTCCACTAGATCAATTTAAGTTGATATTTTAATTATTTTATTTCTTTTCTCTTACTTTATATTATTATTTGCTTATATTTTTGTTACCTGGTTGAATTTATATATATATGTACATTTCCTGGGTAAAGGCAATAAAAAACTGATGTCATTTATTTTTCTGCTGTCTCTGCCTTTCTATGCAGGAAGTCAGGAACCCTCATATTTTTCCTTGACTACTTATTTGGCCTCAAGATGCTGAGTGAGGCTACTTGTGGTGTCAGCCTATGTGCTGATAAATCCTCATTAGCAGTCCACTCTTCTCTGCCTCATTCTCAATCCTGGGAGGATGATCATACAAACTCTTACATGTGAGTTTCCTTACCTGTGAGATTTTTGTTGGGTTCTGTTGATGAAATAGGTGGAGGAGAGAGGTAGGGGTACTATTTGGTATACAAGATAAAAAATGGTACAACCTTATAGGTTCCTTGCCATGAATGGAGCTTAGCTTCTAGGAAATCAGAGAACTAAGAACTAGGCAGAGAAGAGTTGACTGCTAATGAGGAGTAGTAGTCACACCTGGCAGTAGTCACATCTTTGAAAGTAGTTTCAAGTGGAGGTAAACACTCCAGTTGGACTATCTGGGAAAATTCTTTCTGAGTCAATTCTAAGAATTCAGTGAGATTCCAGGCTCTGAACCATTAATCATGTAACTATTAGGAGACTATTAATTGTGTAACTATTAGGAGCTTAACTTAGCTCCATTCATGGCAAGGGACCTACATAGTTGGACCATATTTTATGTTTCATACCAAATATAAAAGATTTATACCTCTCCCTTCCACCTGTTTCATCAGCAGAACCCAACCAAAACCCCCAGGTAAGAAAACCCACATGTAAGAGTTTGTATGGTTATCCTCCCAGGATTGAGAACTAGGCAGAGAAGAGTGGACTACAAATGAGGAGCAGTAGTCGCATCTTTGCACAGTGGGTCTTATTGGGTGGAATTTCCTTCATTGTCCCAACTCTTCTTCAGGCTCTGGGCTCCTTATTCGTTCCGTTTGCTTCATCAAACATAGGCCCATGACTAGCTCTACTGGGAGACCCTGAATGTCTCAATATCCCTGTATTTTTTTTTTTTTAAATCCTGTCCGCTCTCTTTAAATACACCCTTTATTAATTTTTTCCCATAAAGGGTCTCCATTTCCTTCTGGGAACCTGTGTAATCAACTCTTGGTAGGTGATAAAATATAGGATAGAGTGATAGTCATAATGATAGCAATAGGTGCATATTACTGCTCGAATACTTTATTTATTTGGTGTGCCGGTTAGATCAGGGTTGGTTCCATCAAAATCATTGCAGTTTATTTCTTCTAAGATATCAGAGCAGTTTGGAAAATATCATTTATTGCATCTTCAACCAAAAATGGCAAAGAGTTTTTGCCAAAAACTTTTAGAGGCTGTGCTGCTTAATGTAGTTTGGTTGGAAGTCGTAACTTGGACAGTGGCATTGAGCAATATGGTGTGAGGAGGATTGGTGAGAATTTCAGTAGTATTTTCAGTAGGTGCTGTGGGGATTGCTGCTGATGTGGAGGTGGCAGGCTCTGGTGTTGAAGAGATAGGTACTGTTGAGGAGGTGACCGTCATTGTGGGTTTTGTGGAAGTGCTGGTGGTTGCTGTTTTGGTAGGGGGATTTGTGATGATTGTTGTATCTGTAGTGGTGATATTTATTTGGGGCTCAGGGTTAGAGATAGGAAGGTAAACAGCAAGGAAAAAAGGAATAGGAGGAAATGGGGATTTTAATACCCTAATAGGTCCTACATAGTAAGGTCTTAGTGGGAAATGTAGGTTTGGATAACCCTGAAAGAGTCGAGGTTGCCTAATAGGTTCCAATGGAAAGAGTTGAGATAGAATGACTGCTTGGCTAAATCGAGAAAAAGAAGATGGTGGAACTCGCCCTGGGACAAAGGGAAGAAAAAGTGGTGAATTAAGTCTTGAGCCATAGGGAGGTGGGGGACTTGGTGGAACCCATCTTGGCCTGTAGGGTAGAGGTGGTGGCAGCTGGCCAGGCAGATATGGTCTTCTGGGGAATCTTTGACTCTCACTGGGCTGTGGAGATAAAAACAAAAGCAAAAACAGTTTCTAAATTTGATCATTTAAAGTTCAAACATTAGGATACACTATGTATTAGTATGTATACTATGTATACATTAGGATATACTAAGCCATAAGTCATATATTTCACTGAGAAAATAGTCAGAAAAAATAAGGAATAGAAAATTTCTTGTTTATTCTGGATGCCTGTGCAATCAAAGAGAAGTAGAATAGTATTAAATCAGAAAAAACAAAAGAAAGTGGTAAGCTTGCTATCTGACCTGCAGGTTTTAGGGAGGAACCAAATCACCTTGATTGTGTATAAGAAAAGACCACCTTTGAATGTAGTTTCAAGTGGAGGTAAATACCCAGGTTGACTATCTGGGAAAATTCTTTCTTTCTTCATTCTAAGAATTCAATGAGATTCCAGACTCTGAACTGTTAATTGTATAACTATTATATGCAACACTTCTTTCTAGGGACAAAGAGAAACAGATTTAAGACACTGCTTATGTGAGTCTGAAATCTAGTGGACGATATAACCCTCAAACGACAATACAAGGCAATACAACAAAAAGCCTATGGAGCCAGTATAGTATGTTGGTTAAAATGAAGACACAGGAGTCTGATTGCTAGAGCCTCCTAGAACCAGTCTTTCCATTGTTGCATGCTAACTGGGTGACTTGCTTATGGTTATCTCTGCCTGTTTCCTCACTCCTCAACTGGTTCTAGAAATAGTTCTTAACCATTTATAGTGGTAGATAGGATTATATATAATCTATGAAAAGTGCTTAGACAGAGTAAGGTAGAGTAAGGGCTCAATATAATTTTGAGTTATTTTGTACTCTATTAATAACAAACACAGCTTGTAGATGGTAGCAATTCAAGAGATAATTGATTAATACTGTAAACAATTATAGCGATTTAGAGGAAAATTTTAATTTTTATCAAAGAGAGAGGACCAATTGCCATATAGAGAAGATAGCATTTGAAATGAGGATAAAATAACAGAGTGGAAATGACTAGGAAGAAGCCAAATTAGAATAATATCATAAACAAATGAACAAGGTCAAGAAAATATAGGTTCTATTCTAGCAACCATCAGAAGACCAGTTTGCCTGAAACAAAAGCTTTAGGAAGGTGCAAGACTCTAGTCATTCTCTTATAACATTCAACTCCTTCCTGTGTCTCTGCCATACTGCCTTTAGAAACATCAAACTTTTGGATCAACTCCATGCAAATTACCTTCCCTAGTCGTACTTCCATGGTGATGAACATTGCTGGATGAATGTCACAATCTCTAATGGTAGCAACACTGGAGATCTATAGTGTCTGTGTTTGTCTGGTGCATCAGCACTGCTAAATCATTTCCTCCCGTTTTTCCCAAAAGGCTATCTTCTCAGCATCTATACCTCACTTCTACTTTTCTTGCTCCCCACCTACACCCATCAGAAGATGATCTTGCCTTCTATTTTACATAATTTAGGCCATCACACATGAGAACTTCTTCCCTTTCCTGCCCTACACCTATAAAACTCACAAATATCTTGCTGTTCTCTCTTCCTAAGACCAGTCTCTTCACTTGTGTTTTATATCTACATCTTCTCCATCCCTAGGGTCTTTCTTCTCTTTTATTCTTGTAAAATAAACCTCTTTCTAATCCCTGTCTGTATTCTTTCAGCCTATAATATTGATTGATATCTCATGTATTAAAAAATCTCATTCCTAACCTAGGGTACCCCTGAAGCTTTCTTTACTAGCTTATCTTGTTCCATTCCTAGCCAGATAGTGAGGAAAGCTGGTTTAGATTTTCTGTTTCCACTTCTCAATTTCCCTTTTATCCTGGTTACTGTCCCCATCACACAACTGAATGTCTTACAAACATCAGTGACGACTCAAAAATTCCAAGTCATTTCAGAGGGAACCATCGTGATGTCTTGGTCACACGATCAATTCCTCTTATATCTACATTTGCCTCTTATATGTACATCGACAGGTCTTAGTTATCACCTTTTATTCTTGTAACATAAAGATAAACACATTTATTTGGGTTCTTTCTGGGCTATTGATCCATGGACTTCCAAACCACAGGCTATCCAGGATCTTAGGCCTTATGGCCAGAAGAAGAAACATAACCCAGGTTTATAAAATTCTCTTTCTCTTTGTAACTTGAACTAGGAAATATTGAGATATCCTAATTAGAAGTAGGAACTAAAATGTGAATATTGTGAGATGAGAGGAGCCAGACAGAGGCTGGAGCATTAATAAGGGCCACGTGCAAACTAAGCTATAAGGACACAGGACTCTGAGTAGAGAGAGCACATCTGAGGGAGGGAACAGTACAGAGAGAAGCAGGGATGCCATGAGAAGCAGACACCAGTTTTTAGGGCTGCCTGCTTTTGCTGTGCCAGTTCTACTTTATATTTATTCTTGCATTGACTTCCTTATTTAAAGAAGGAAGAAAACATTTACTGAGAACCTGGCTGGGCATATTTCCTTCCTTTAAGGAAAAAGGAAGTCAATGCAAGAATAAATATAAATTAAAACTGGCACAGCAAACTAAGGCAGCCCTAAAAATGCAAGAATAAATATTGTGAGTGGAACCCTGTTCTCTGCCAAACACGAAAGCCTGTACCACCATCCAATGTCATCTTTTGCCACTTCTTTCTCCTCACTCTGGCCATGTAGAACTAGTACTAGTTCTTTTAATATGACGAGCTTTTTCTGGTAGTCCCTGTGACTTCATAAAAGCAATTCCTGTAGCTGAGAATGTTTCACTCCTGCCCTAGTTTCCATTCACTTGGTAATCTCTTCCTTCAAAACGTTTAAGTGGCTTCACTCCCCTCCCCCAATACTTTGATATGAAAATTAAAAGAATTGTACAGAAAATGTCTTTATACAATATAAAATCAGCCAAAATTTCACTTTTGTAAAGCTTTTATTGGAGACAAAAACAAACTTCATCACTTTCTTTTCACAGTGATAGTAATTATTTGTTTTGATATTTTTCTCCACTTTTAGGCCATGTGCTATTTTACTGTTGTTGAAGGAATAAGTTGTATCTTCTTTAGCTTTGTGTCTTTAGTATCTTAGTCGGTGCTTGGCATCTTTGTGAATAATAAAGCGTATGAGGAATTGGAGGTAAGCTAGATGTCTTTATTCTTTTTGCTGCTTCAGCACTTCTATTATAATACTTATAATCACTTATAATATTGTATAGTGTAGTAATTATTAACTTCTTCAAACAATGTCTCTGTATTATTTATCATTCTATCTCCAGTTTCTGGCACCTTGGAGGTTCTCAGCACATTTTATTTTTTTAAAACTGGGTCTTGCTCTGCTACCCAGGCTGGAGTGCAGTGGTGTGATCTCAGCTCACTTCAACTTCTGCCCCCTAGGCTCAGGCAATCCTCCCACCTCAGCCTCCCAGGTGCTGTGATCATGAGAGTGTGCCACAATATCCAGCTATTTTGTTTTGTATTTTCTGTGGATATGGGGCCTCACTATGTTGCCCAGGCTGGTCTTGAGCTCCCGAGCTTAAGCAATCCATCTGCCTTGGCCTCCCAAAAGTGGTGGGGTTAAAGGTGTGAGCCACCATGCCTGGCCAGGTTCTTAGTAGATGTTTTTGAATAAATGAATGTGGACTCAAATAAAATTGAGATATTAAGTCATGACTGCTAACATTAATGAAGACATAAGTGCCAAGAGGAAATAAATTAATTAAGTTTTAATCCTTTTGAGTTTGAAAAGTCATGGAAGTTTGTAGATGCAGATTGAAATATCAGAACTAGAGAAATCAATTTGGAAAGCACTGTTGGGTCAAAGCAAAAAGTAAGAAAGTAATGAAGAAATGGCTGAAGACAGAAACTTGGACATCAATAAGAGAAAGCTGAGCAGCTAGTGAAGGAAAATCAGAGACAGGAGGAAACCCAGATGGTACAGTGCCATGGAAATTAAGTTCAAAGTGAGCTTTGATGAGCTGCTCTCAGGATCCTAAGCAGAGGTGGGGAGAAATCATGTGAAAAATTACACCTTACAGCAAATAGCTGACCCCTGACCTCCATTCTTATTATTTTTATCTTTTTCTATTCTCTTAACACAATTTTTTCACTAGCTAGTTTCCCTCGTCCACTGGCCAATGGTGGTGAACTTTATAACCCTAGGCAAATGATGAAAATGCCTTCTTAAGGAGTCTACATTTGGGGCCGATTACCTCCACAAATGATAAGCTTATTTGAAACAGAATACAGAACTGGCTATTTTGAGTTTCATTTTTCTTATTGTTAAGGGAGGATAATAATAATAATTGTCACACTGGATTTCTGGAGAGATTAAACAGCGTACTTTTATAATATACTTCTTGGCATATGTTAAACACTCCATAAATGGAAGTGGTAACTTTAATATTATTATTATGCAGCCCACCTATATTTAAATTTGATTGTATTCTCTCTGTAGTTTTAACATTTGATGGTTTTAAATAATCAAAAATGATTTAATGATGTGTGAGTTCCATGAGGGCAGATATTTTTAAATTTATTATTTATTTGTCAAACGTTTAAGAAGCTTAGATGCAATTTTGTTATATAGATACATTGGAGTTAAGGTGCAGGGAGGTTGAAGCAGGGTCTTATAGGTAGGGATGAGGACTTTGTGCCCTGACTTCTAAGTGTTATGGAAAATCATTAGAAGGTTTTGAACAAAGGAATGATATGGCAATATTTACCTTGCAAAAGCATCTTTCTGGTTGTTTTGTGGAGAATAAACTACAGGGACAATAGTGAAAGCAGGGAGATCAGTTATTATTGCAACAGGTAGGAAGCGATCGTTGCTTGGCCTAGAATGGTAGCAGGAGGGTGGTGAGAAAGGGTAAGATTTAGATGATGGTTTGAAGGCAGAGTGGGCAATATTTGCTGAAGGAGTGGGTCTGGGGAGTGATAGAGTCAAGGATGATTTCAAGTTTTTTTTTGACTTGAGCAACTGGATTTGTGCTAATAGATGGAGAAAGGGTAAGAGGATGGTGTCCTGGGACACTGACATTTAGAGATCAGGAAGAGATGTGTGTGGAGAAGGAGACCAACAAGGAGTCGTCATTGAAGTAGGAGAAAAATCAGGAGAGTGGAGTTGAGGAAAAAGAAAAAAACTCCCTTTAAGTAGGAAACTGATCATGTCAAATACAATTTAGACATAATTATCGTGGAGACTGAAAACTGACCCTTACACATGGTCATTTGGAGTATAATTTGACAAATGTGGTTTCATCGAAATGATGTGGGCAAAGTCTGCTTGGAGTTGGCTTAGGACAGAACAGGAGAGAAAGTGAAGATGTGCAGAGGCAACTTTTTCAAATGGACCATGATGGGAGCCATAAGATCAGTGGAGAATGAAAACAAACATATAGATGATATTACCTCATATTTATGTGCTAGTAGGAACAATCAATCGAGAGAAGGAAAAATTGCTGATGTAGGATGTTTAGATTTAGAGTAGATAATTGCAGGATAATTGGAGGAATCTCTTTGCATAGGGGAGAGGATGGGACCTCCTGTATAAGTTGAGGGGTTGGTCTTAGAATACACTGAGGTGATTTTAGTTCATCCCAGATAATAGAAGAAAAGGCAGAAGATAGACAAATAGATCAAGGCAAGTTAAAATTTTGTTTCTCCATTCACAAGTTATGTGAATTTGGGTAAGTTATGTAACCTCTCGTTACTTTCCTCATCTTTGAAAGAGAGAAAGTAACAGTATCTTCCACATGATGTTCTTTAGAAAAAATAATTAAAATGACAAATAATTTAGCACAGTATTTTTGCATGCACACAGTTTCAATGAAACATAAATATATTTTGAAAACTCATGAATAATGTTGGGTTAGTTTTATGATTATTTTGTAAATGAAGTATCAGGTTTTTACATGCCATTTTGACTTGTTCACTGTCTCTGTAGACTGGGAGTTAGCAAACTAAGGCTGTGGGCCAAATTTAGTTTGCCTGTTTTGGTAAATAAAGTTTTACTGGGACATAGCCACGCCCATTCGTTTATTGTAGCTGCTTTCAAGCTACCTCAGCCAAGTTGACCACTTATCACAGGCCCTCAAAAGCCTACAATATTTGTTGTCTGGCCCTTTTCAGAAAAAGTTTGTCAGTTCCTGCTCTGGCTATTGTTATCAATCTGTCCTGTATCCTCTGACAGTCATATACCCCTTGAAGTTAGAGGTCATGTTTATCAGTGTTTGTGCCCTTCTTACACTATAGGTGACATTAAGTAAATATTTATGG